AGAAGCAATATTACTGGATCTGAGTTTGGACAAAAATGTGCTTGTATTTTTGCAAGGCTGGGTTTGCTTTATTTAAATATAGAAACAACAAGTATCTACATAAAACTTCACACAACAGTTGAGCAATTTCTGCAGTTATATGTCAACCATCAAATTTATTATGTAATATAATTTGCCCATCAGCTTAAGCCATCCCATTGCAGCGTATGGACATACTCCTTGAGAATAAAAAACAGACTTGAACAAATTTCAGTTTCACATAAATTCTATTAAAGAAGAATAAAAAAGTAAAATGAAATTTCTCCATTTTCTTCTACCTTATGGGTTTCTTTGAGGTTTAATAATAATATAAATAAAGCAGATTTGAGATGAAATACAAAACAGTGAACAATAATTTAGAAACACTTTGAAGAAGCAAGTATTATATTCCAGTGTTGCCAGGCTTTCAACATAAGTAAGACAGAAAACAGCAAGAACTCTCATTTATTCTATCAAGAAAGCATAAATATTGGCTCTAAATGAAGCCAACCTCTTGCAGCTGTACACTAGCTCTCAATTATTAAAAAGATTCTTAAATTCCCAGGGAAACAAAATCAATTTCAGCCATATAAGTCTGTATATAAATCTACTGTGCTTTATTCCAAATATTTTCTCATCAAGGAGTTTGGAACAAAAATTTTTTTGAAAGAGAAAGTCCCCAGTTTACCCATTCCACCATTACAAATATTTGAATGACTTCCAGTAACTTTGCTTAGAAAATCTCAAGGTCTAACACGCCAAAGACAGCTCAGCATTAATGTCAATACATTTCATGATTTGGCAAGCTAACCATTCATAGCAATGGACTGGAATTCTGATTGCCATTTTCATATATTGTCTTTCACTTTTGTCACAGCACACTGAATGGTGTTACACTTGCTCTTTTGGTGAGATACTTACTTTCTGGGGTTATGTTAAAAATTCATTTTAAATTCATTCTGTTAAGGCTTAAAATGAGCTAAATGATTACTGTTTTAATCCCAAGTCAATATGTGTAGTCAGGACTTGAAAGAATTCCAATCACTATAGCCTTTATTCATATTTTCAATGGATAATAATGCTATGGGGTCATTTTCCTTGGTGCTGATTTGTTATATTTTTTATTTGTGGTAACTATGGCTGCTGGTATAGAAACTGTTGTTCACACAGCTCAAGCACAGAAATAGATATTAATTTTCTTATTAGATTTATTAAGAATCCACAATCATACATATTCACTAATGTGTGGAGAACAGAGTAGAATAGAAATGTAGTTTCCCGACTTTAATGTGCATTAGAATATCCTGGAGACTTGGTTAGAACAGGTCCCTAAGTCCCACAACCTACTGGATCAGAGATGCTTGATTTGGGTGGTGTGAGTGGAGCTGGGACTCTGATTTCTAGCAAGTTCTGATGCTGATGCTCATGTTGTCAGTTCGAGTCCATCTTTTGAGGAATAGAGATATGAAGTCACATGGTCAATAACAAAGGCTAAAGCACCTTGGGCTCCAATCTTGCTTTTCCCACTAACAAGATCCATTGATTTGGGAGTAATTTACTTAACTTATTTTGAAGTCTTTGTTTCCTCATCTGCTCAATAGGGGCTTTGTAAAGACCATAAGTTTTTATGGTCACAGCACTGGACAGATATCTGGTATGTGATTAATACATAACAACCCTGGTGACTAGAGATGATGTTGTCTCCTTTTCCAGGATTCCAGTCTTTTCTTTCAAATCCTCATATACCTGGCAAAGTATATGCTAAAGATGTCTAGGTTAGGAGTTTTCTCGTGGGTGAATTTCTCAGGTGGGCCCTAAAATTCTTGAACCTTAAGAACTTTTAACAAAATACCAAATGGAATGCTTATCTGATTTCCTGTCATTTGGATTATTTTTCATTTAAGTTGCTTGATAACCACAGCTCCAAAGCTATGTGTCCTATAAATGATCTTTTTAAGAACAACATCAGTTTATTTTCAAAATCAAACTCAAGTCTTTGGAGACTAATATCGTTTCTCTCCATATTTTGTTATTAAGAGGTCTGGTGTTCTGCCAAGGCAACATATTAATAAATTTTGCTGGAGATTTTCATTGTCATGTGAACGTTGAAATTGGCTCTCAATTACACAAAGCAGCCAATTCAACAGGATACGTGTATTGGATTTACAATGGACACGTCTGTGAAAAAATACTTTAAAATCTCTGATTTTGTGGTTTGCTTTTAATTTGTTTGAAAAGGCATGATCCACCAGTCATAAGAATCTCAGCCAATTTAGGTGAAGTTTGTTTTGAGAAATGTATAATTTTACTTTAGTCAAACGTTAGTAAATGAAATTGTCTGGCATTCAAACATTTATGTTTGTTGCTCACTTAACACAAGTCCCATTTCCATGGTAGGTGCCAGACAGGGGCTAGACTAGACAGTCACCCTATCCTTGCAGAGTTTATAGTTTAGTGAGAAGGATAAAGGCATAGGTACTAGAACTTCATTTTAACAAGCTTAAAAATCTCCAGTCTTTACCAGTTACCCAGCTGTGGAAAGTAAATTCTCTGCTTTTGTCCATGCCCTGTTAGCCATTACCACAGCTTCTGAGGCTTCCACAGCACTAGATGATCTTCCAGAAGTAGGATCCTTCTGAGCTTCTAACCAGAGGAGAACATAGCCTTTCCTATGGTTTTATTGAGCAGAACTTAGAGAAGGGAACTTAGAGAAGGGAAATCAAGGCAGCTCTGCAGCCTGCAATTAGTTGTCACATAAACTAATTAGTGCAATGACATATTGAAGCCAGTGTCAGACTGTGTGCCAAGCTTGATTTTGATTTTTAAATGATGCAGGGGTTCATGCTCACATGACCTGTTATGAACTGAATGTGTCCCCTGACTCTATATCATTGAAGCTCCAACCCCCGACAGGATGGGATGGGGCAGGAGGCCTTTGGGAGGTAATTAGGGTTAGGTAAGGTCATGAGGGTGGGGTCTTCATGATGGGATGGGTGTCCCATGAGAACAGACCAGAGAGCTTGCTTTCCATCTGCACATGTCAGAACAAGGCAGGAAGGCAGGAAGAGAACACCCACCTTGGCTGCTACCTTGACCTTGAACTTCCCAGCTTCCAGAGCCGTGAGAATAACTGTCTTGTTTAAAACACCCAGTCTGTGGCCTATCATTATGGCAGTCTGAGCAGATGAAGGCATGAACTTAGAAAGAACACAGGGATTTGTACAAAACTGTAAAAAATGCTTCAAATTTGTCTTTTATTAACCCCAAGCAGCGTCTTCTGCCTTCTCTGCCAGGCAGGCTCCTTACTGTTGCCTACACACAATTAGCTCTTTCCGGCCTCTGGTATGCACCCCTTTTTGCATTTTTCTTTACCTAAAATGCTCTCCCCGAACCTTCCACTTCTGGCTCAGAGGCTCCTCCCTAAGAAATTTTGCATGATTAACCTTTCTTCATTGCAAAGTTTGCTTCACCACCCACTCTCTTATGTCCTGCTGGTTCCAGGATGTAGGTCTCATCTCCTCACTGAGTCCATGAGCATCTCTATGACAAGATTTTTCAAATCTTTTGTGTCCTCCATTGGCCCTTTTTAGAGGTTTGTGCAAATAAAATGGGAATAAAATTGACTGAATGAAAACTGAGATAGATATTGAGAGCCAACGAATGTTCTGAGGCAAATGAATCAAGCAATGCAAGGAAATAACAATAAAACCCTGGCTCCAGAGCCTGCGGGTGGGGGTCGGAGAGGGACGTTCTGGACAAGTGAGTTTAATAGATGGCTGAAGATTTATCCTTTTAAACACTAAGGGTTTTAATAATCTTGGATGGAAACCTCCCCAATATATTCATCTTGCCTGCCTTTTAATAGGGTGCACCGTAAACAGAACCCAGCTTGGTGAGTCGGGGTGTCATTAAAAGTGGTAGGGTGCGATAACACAGGGAAGCCCTCAGGCCCTTTCGAGGCATGCAGAACCATTTGTCCTCATTCTAAATGGCTGCAGATTGCTGTGTTTTTATTGTTATTTTGTTTTTTAGCTTTTCTGGGTCCTCCCTTGCTGCTGGACTGTCAGTCTTACTCTTGCCTGTGACTGACTGTGCCATCTCTACTCCCTGCTTCTAATTTGCTGCTTCTCATCTGAAATGAGTTTGGAAATCAAATGCTCGAGCTCACTGTGGTTATTGTCATAATGATTCTTGTTAGAGATGTGTGTAAACTGAGAGCCAGGGCTGTGTGTGGGTTTGCCAGGGTCTCCAGGGCTAGCGTGTGCAGGAGATGAATGCATGTATGTCATGAATATTTAGTTCACCTTCTCTGAATCCTTTTAAATTTACTTCCTAGTCTTATTTTTTGGCTCTGAAAAGAGAATTTCTTGAAAAATACACTTTTCATATATATTAGGAATTCAGTCATGTGACATTCGATAGGTCATGATCGAGAACCTACAAAGAGGAAGATTCAGGCTGGGCACTGTAGGTGAACCCTCTAAAATGGACACTATGCTGGCTCACTCACTGTTTTCTGTAGCACACAGCACACAGTAGGTACTCAGTAAAACTTGTTGAATCAGTGAGGAGAATTTTATAATCTGAGCAGAATTAATATATTGACATACATGCACATACAAACCTACAAAAGATGGTAGTGAGTCATAACAGAAATTCGAGTATTACAGGACCCCAAATTATTTCATTCTGGAAAATTCAGGAGGACTTCATGGAAGAGTTGTTGTATTAAATGGGAATGAAAGGATGAGGCCATATTTCAACCAGCAAGAAGTTAGGGAAGCAAAAAGAGACAAGAATGCCACAGGCAAAGTCCCGATGCTGGAATGGGCAGGGTATATTTGGGAGGCGACTGAGTACATTTCGCTAGAGCACATGCAGGGGAGTAGGACATCACATCATAATGTTCTGTTGAGGTCAGAGTGTGGGTGGGCCTTGCTGTCAGGCTAGAATTTGAACTTCGTTTACTAGCTGATGGGGAGGGCAGCAATTTTTTTTGAGCTGGGTGGGGACAAGCCTGGGGCTGGGCTTTAGAAATCCTGGTAGATGTTGGAATTTGGGAGTTGAAGGGAAACAGGACTGGAGTAGAACAGGGTACTGAGGGAAGGCAACACGAGCTTCAACTGGGATGCTGGCAGTTGGGAATACCAGCCTGGCATAGATTGGGAGATGCTGCAGAGGTAGTTTAAGAAGAGTTAGCAACTGACTTATCAGAAGTGATGGAAAAAGTACACATTGGGTATCACTCCAAGTGGTGATCTTCCCAGAACTCAGAATCCAGAAGAACAGGTTTAGAGATGCTGATGAGTTAGACTTGGGAAAAGCTGAGGTGTGAGAGCAAACTGTTGATAGCTTTGCTGTAAAAAGCATGAATGGGAAACTCCCTTGAAAAAACACTAAGAAGTAAGAAATACTTATACAATGAGTGCTTTCACTAAGAAGTAAGAAATACTTATACAATGAGTGCTTTTGTAGCCCTCGCCACAAAAAGGTATTGAAATTCTGCATCTTATTTTTAGCCTCTTCTTGACATAATTATACTAACAATTGTTCTTCTCTTCAAATAGCTTTCAAGTGGACCTTCCAAAAAAATTAAAAGGAGCTAATACTTGTTTTTTTTTTTTTTTCCTGAGAGATAACTCTTGATAAGGTGTGATTTTAATGCTATGCAAAGTTCGAGCAGTATCTGACTTGTTCATCAATCAATAGTGGGTCTTCTCTGATTCAAGACAAGGAACAAGAAAACAAACTGAGAAAACGTCCCTCAAACAGAAGATGGGTCTTGACCTCTACTGTGAGAAACAGAAGTGTTTTCAGATTAGCCTGGAGTAAGTAGGGGAACTGGGATACTAGGATTCTATAGGATGGATGAGTAGGATTTTGACAGGCAAGCAGAAGGGAAAAGTGCATTGGGAAATTGTGTGTGTAACGCTGGCATGAAAGAATGACATAGTATGGCTAGGGGATGCAGGAAGCCACCTGGCTAGAGCACATGTGGAAGAATGACAGGGAGAGACCATGCTACTGAGGAACTTGACAGGGGTGTACAATGGAAGGTGGGCTGAGCCAGGTGGGATGGTCTTGTATACTGCATTGGAAGTGCATTTGCACTTTATTGGCAGTGGAAGCAAGTGCAGAGATTCACTGGGCAAGAGAAAAATTGGATAGGTTTAAGTAAGCTCTGGTAGATCTATAAAGGATGACTTGAAAATTGGGAAAAAGAGGCACAGATGAAGATGCCACTCAAGTGCTACTGAAAGCAAATGAGGACCCGAGCAAATGAAGTGATGAACCGGTGCTTAGCCTATTTCAAGCATTGAGTGTGTGCTGGTGGCCAGCTGTTCCAGCAGAACAGCAAAAGTTTTTGGTCCAGCAAAATTGGATGAGCCTCCTTTTGGAGTCAAATCAGCTTTAGCTATAGATTACTGGACCAGAGACCCTGAAAAAAAATGAGAGATTCTAGAAGATTCATACTATAGCCAGAAATCAAGGTTCATCTTTGGTTTGGGGCACAATGTTAATACAAAAGACATAGGGGAGCACAAACAATACCATGAGGTCCTCGTGGACCTGATTCCGTGTAGTAAAGTTTCTTGAAGCACACTTATTCTAGACAGGAACATTCCAGGGTTGGGGACTGGGGGTGGGGGACGGGCAACATTGCTTCGAAAAAGTCCAAGGGGGAAAACTGCAACAACTCTCCATTGAAGGAGTCTCTCTTTTAAATGCAATGGACATATTCTACCCTACAGAACTGCTCTATCCAACATGGCTGCCATAAGCCACAGGTGACTAGTGAGTCTCTGAAAAACCACTAGCCCAAATTCAGATTTGCTGTAGTTGTAAAATACATACTAGATTTCAAACACTTAGCATGAGAAAACAAATGTATAATATACCTCATTAATGCTTTTTTATTGGTTCTCAGTTGATATGATAACTTAGACCCTATGGGGTTAAATCAAATGTATTATTGAAATAAACTTATATTTTTAATTATGGCTACTAGAAAGCTGAAAGCAATTATTGTTCTGTTGGACAGGACTACCATAGAAATTTCAGTGTTGTTTGCTATTGCAAAAGTCATATAGTTCTATCTCCTCTGATATTTCTGACCTTTTTTCCTTGTAGGGAAGTTGTCAACTTGTTATTAAGAAGAAATAAAAAATTTAATAAACAGGTCAATGCATTCTTGTCTACTTTCCAGAATTGTTTATCTGCCTTTCAATGTTTCCATGGAGATTAGTGCTACTGCAGGCTTGTTTTAATGGCTATGGTGTTCTGTACAGTTTGCATATTATAAAAGTCATTTATACAAAAAGTTGGAAAGGGTTTACTATTTGGGGCCATTAAGAGGTAAGAAAGATGGAGTGGGGCAAAGGTCTCATTAATAACCTTCATATCAGGGAAAGTTGTAGCCTGACATGTTTAAATAGACTCAACCTTTCTAAAGAAGAGGTGATTGCAAAATACTCCTCTCCCACAAAGAGCTTGGAGCCAATATCTCTATTAGAACATCAAATAACAATCGCAAATTCTCAAAAACCAGAGTGCTTGAAGGATCATTTTGCTTTCACATTGGTGAACAGCAAGTAACTGTTCAGAAAGGGCATCCCTGGATTTGACAGCAGGCCTCCAATTCTTTTTTTTTTTTTCTTGTGGACTAGTGGAAATTGTAACGTTTGATCATAATACTGACCTTTAGCTTAATTTGCCCTAATTTTGCAGAACCTTCCTGCTTCACACCAACCACCCCCTCTGATTCTACAAATTTGGTATGTGTTAGCATTTAACAGAATGAGAAATAGCCTGAAGGATTCTCCACCAAATGGAACTGATTATACAATGAAAATAAACTTAGGCTAGGATCTGAGACACCATGTAAAGTATTTTACTATGTTTTGCAAGGCTTTTTGCATTTAGGAAGCAAGTAAGTTTGTTTTTAAACAAAAGTGGCCTCTTGAAAAAAAAGCAAAACCTTGTTCACTGTCTTTGAAGTGTAAGTGAGCAAAAAAAAAAAAAAAAAAAAAAAAAAAAATCAAAAGTTAAATGATGACTATGAAATCCAAAGGGGAGAATTACAACCTGAGGCACACCCACCACGCCATGTGTCTGCTGTGCTTCAAGCAGTTTAACTATGTCTATAGACAGTCTGATAGTCTTGTAGACAGTGAACCTTTTGGACAGAACAGGCAGTTCTTAAATACCTGTCACCGACGTTATAGAGCAGAGCAAGATGGAACTGAAAGATTCTCATGTCAAGCCTTTAATATCGGTACAACAAAAATGACTTCATCTGTGCAATTAGTGAACAAACTGTTCCCACTGGTCTAATAGCTCCAGGAGGAGAAACTTATTTTGACTTTGATTTGTCCTGTTTTTCCTGCAGACTGAATGTTGCAACCTTATGTCGACTAAAATCTTTTGGCCTAATAATTATAGCCAACATTGAAAAACTCTGCCCTCAAATTATTAGTGCAAATAAAATGAGGGAGAAATAAATTAAACCCAACCCTTCCATCCCCATGTCCCATCCCCTTCTGCACCTTAGAAGTTCTGTGGTCAAAATGTTTCAGCACTTCTTCATCCATAAAAATCAAACTAAATTTCTGTTTAGTAAATTAACTTTACAGGGTTTTGTTTTGCTTCTACTGTCATTGCTTTACTGGCCTGTTTGGGGAGTGCATTCCCTAATGTTTAAAGCAAGTGAATTGTTTTACTTAAAGCAAAGAAACTCTAAGAGCTTCCTTTCTTTACCATTCAGTTTCAACTGTCTAAAGAAAGATGGTTAAAGAGAGGCATATGCTTTTTAGAAATGTATGGCTATCATGAGACTGGTGTATATAATACCTCCTGTCACTTGAGCCATGTGAAGGACATTTTCAAATATTAACATGTCCCAGAAAAATCAGAAAATGGATATTTTTGGTCTTAACTTTGACTCCAAGGTGAGCCTAAATAAGCAGACCCATTGCTCTTGACTTCATCAAAGTTTGAAAAGAAATATCCACAAACCCTTTTCAAACTTACCTTTCTTCCAGGTATATCTAGGAGTCTGGGGGAACTGTTAGCAGAGTTGCTCAGATGATGCCAATTTCTTGTAGGGCCTAAGGATCCAGATTCATTATCCTAAAGTGAAAAATGAATGTGGAGCAAGACCAGTAAGTTGGCAAATTCTCCCTTAAAAGCAGCAGTAATAGGCTACGTATGAGACGGATTCCATTTTAATTTGGGGGAGACCATGTTACCTAAACAAATTCTTTTCACTTCAGCAAGTGTTTCCCTCTATTTTCATATTCTTATTTTTTTAATACCAAATTATTTTTTTCCCTCTTAAGAGCTGGAATGATAGATGTAGTTCCACTTTTGTCATGTCATTCTACTTTCAAAAGGGCAAATGTGCTGTTAGAGATGAGAGAACACTGAAAAGAGATGATGGAGGAAGACCAAAGCCCACTATGTGCTAATACAGCTATTATTAACTTTTAACTGAATTTAATATATCCTTCTAAAAGAGGATCTGATTAGATGATTTCACTCATGATTTTTTTTAGCACTTAGCCTGGTAGCCTGGAAGTGACAGAGCCAATGTGCCAATATTAGCCATTTCTTAGCACTTTCTAGTCTTCAAGTCATAAATTACAGAGCTGAACCAGGGCCAGGCTAAATTATTTTGGCAAAGGAGGCACATGAAGCATTTTCTCTGAGGAAAATTGGGCCACTGGATTAGATCACCATTTGATGGGCACACAACTGATTAGGGATTCTGCTCAAGAAATCATAAGTTGATTCAGTCAACTAAAGGCACTTACAACTTATGCAGGTCATCGCTCTGTATCCCCCGCACTCTCAAATATTTTAAAAATGATGTGGATGAATGTTAACTGCACCAAGATGGATATAGACGAGGATAGCCAATATTTCAGTGATGTGAATAGTGTGCTTGACATATCAGCAAAGTGGTTAGAATTTAAAGGAAACAAGTTGAATGAAGACAATGTTGGAAGGAAACAGGAACTCATTCATTTGAAAAATATTTATTGAATGTTTACTCTGTGTCAGGCTGTGTTCTAGACTCTAGCTTAATTTCAAGGAACTCACATTCTAACTAAATGTAAAACCTAAAGCTGAAGCACTGAACTTCCACTTCCACTATGACCATGATGGAGTAACAGGGAGCATATTACCTTCCCTCATTAAACAATTAAAAGACTTGTCAAAATCAGTAAAACTAGTTTTCAGACATTGGAAAACAATCAGTAGAACCGAGATCTCTGGGGCAAAAAAAAAAAAAAAAAAAAAAAAAGACGGATGGGGTGGGGTGGATAACCAAGATGAGCCTGGTGACGCCCCAGCTTAGTTTGATGGGTTTCCAGGCCACTGTTCAAGGAAGAGGGACCAGGAGAATTTGATTTCCCTGAATTAAGGTGACAGTTTAAAGTACAGAGATGCTATGGCAGATGAACTTTAAGGGCCACGGAACTAGGGAGAAGAAAGTTTCAAGGAAAGAAAGCTGCACATCTGCAGAGTTCCCTTGAATCTTTAGCTGAGTAATAATCAGTGCATGTATTTGAGGAAACTACCAAGACTAGAAGTCACTGGAAAGGAACAGGTAGAATCATCTTTGGAGCACACACATGGCCTATGTTCCCATTAGGCAAAGCAGAAAGACTTCCTAACACATACAGAATGGAGTGGAGACTTAGGGGGATATTGCCTCCATAGTAGGGTTAAATTAGGCCTAGAAGAAAAACTGTTTTGTACCTACCAAACAAAACTTAACAGCAAGCCTTGAAAACTGTTTCCAAGTAATTTAACTGCATCCTACTGCAAAGCCCAAAAACATTCAAAGGGTTACAAATATATTCAATACTCCCACAATGCTCCACTTAAAATGGCTAATATTATCAGGTATGCTTCTAAGAAAGCAAGGACAAGATCCAAGACGAGGAGAAAATTAAGTCAGACTCAGGAATGACCTAGATGGAATTAGTAGACAAAGATATTAAAAGGGCTATTATAAATATATGCTGTATATTCAAAGAAATCATATATATAACAAAGAGAAATAGAAGCTGTCCAAATATGACTCAAGTCAAAGTGCTATAGTTGAAAAGTGAACTGGATGTGGTTGGGATTAAGAGCAGATTAGAGAGGCAAGAAGAAAAGATGAGTGAATCTGAGGCATTTCTCAAATGGGTCTTCTCTCTGTCTCTGCGTATATAGCCAGGGTCTTACTTCAACCTTATACCATTTCTCTTTGGGATCTGTTAACCATATCCCCCTGCATCTGGTCTTGTTTCCTTCCATCAGGTCTAGACAACAAAGTGACCTCTCTGAAACAGGATCCAATTATGTCACTTTCATATTTAATGTCTTTTGATAGTTCTCCATAGACTCTCAAATCCAACTCAGAGTGACATCTGCCTTCATGTCAGTCCCTTTGCTTATTAATCTTACCCACAAAGAAGGTAAAAGTGAACATTGCTAAAGACACCTTGGCAATGATATAGCTGTCGTACAGGATTAAATTGTAGGAATTTAAGTTCGTCACAAAATACAGAAATCAGGTTTGTTTTTGTGAAGGACTTGATCAGTAACAAAGCAGTTTTACTGAATGTTATGTTGTCTGGGCATTCCTTAACAGCATGTGGCCACAATTCTCAAACAGGAGTCATGCTCTGGTTCAGACAAAGAAGGTTCATTGAAAGACTGCAGGATATGTGTATAAGGGAACATTGAAAAATTGTATTATAATTGCAATGCACTAGAAAGACCTAGATGTAGTCACTGTTCTACTGAAGAACATTTTAAATGTGAAGTACATTTTTTTCCATTTAGGCACTAAAAGAGTTGAAAATGATACTTTGCTCATTCTGAAAGTTACCTTCAATTATATTTCTAGTTGCTATGAATACCTGACTTTGATAATATATGAACTAATAGCCATATATATTTATTAATATACATTTCTAAATATTACCAGTAAGGACCATATTCATAATATATCTGATGTTCTAGCTATCAAGTTACATGAAATTTCAACTTAGTATTACTTTCTGCTAGAAATTTCTTTAACAACTGAATCAAATGTACATAATATTTTCATGCTAAAATATTCACAAAATTGGAAAATTCACTTAGTCAAGTTCACTTTTTCTGCATTGTGTCTATT